GGGCTGGAGAGTGTAGCTCAGTAGTACAGTACCCCTGGGCTCAGTCCCTTGTCCTGGGGACAGGGTGTGGGGAAATGAGCCAGACTCGGTGGTCCACCCCTGTAACCCACATGATACAGGAGAGACATAGCTCTCAGCTTGATGTAGCGAGTCCATGTTCCCAAAACCAAAGAATGACTTCCAAGGGACCGTGGAGGCTAAGAGGGTTGGGGCTTTAGCTCAGTGGTTCAACCACCTGCCTAAAAAGCACAAGGTCCCAAGTTCAGTCCCCGGTATCAAAGAAAAAAAAAAAGGAAAAAATTGACAATGGAGGCTAAGAGTGGGAAAGGTTTATCAAGAGAGAGGTAGCATGTCCTCAAGAGGGGAGCACTGGTGCCTAAAGGAATAAGTCACACACAGTTGGGAACTGGGGAATAAGTGGGAGTAGCAACAGTTCCTGAGAGGCAGAAGGGATCTCAAGTGAGTTGTTGCCATGGTCATCTCTCCAGAGAATGTTTTGGTTTTGGTTTTGGGGTTTTTTTTGTTTTTTTTTTTTTTTGTACTGGGGATTGAACTCAGGACCTTACGCTTGCACACTTGCAAGGCAGGCGGTGGAACCACTGAGCTACATTCCCGGTGAGGGTTAGTCTTAGTAGTCTGAGTGGGTGTGAGAAGATGGTCCACTCCTAGTGAGATAATGGTCTATGTTTATGGGTCATCCCAAAAGGGTGGCAACAATTACAGTATAATGTTTATCCCCTAGGGAAGTATGTGAGTCTGACCATTGTGACTTTGGTCTTGAGGCCTTGCCTTCTTCCGATGGGCCTCCAGCCACTGCTGTAATGTGTTCTCAACTTTGGCACTGACTCCCCAGCCCTATCTGACTGCCTATTAATTTCTATCTAACTTAGCTGTCTATAGTCATTCTACTTGCCCACTTACAGAGAGCAGACAGCATGGGAACCTGGAAATGTCCCAGTGGCTACCTGCCTGCCGAGCACATGCCCGTTACCTGCTGATGGCCAGGGCTTCCTTCCCCCACCAGCACTCAGCAAGTGTTTTCCTTGCTTGCTGGTCATGGGAACACCAGGTTGACAATGCCGCAGATGCAGCCCGAGATCCAAAGGGATCCTTACCCCAATCCGTGGTGAATGGAATCTGAGAACCAGGAGCTAGGAGCTGGACAACAGGGCTTCAAGTGGAGGGGTGCTAGAAGCACACATTCCCTGAGGGGTCACAGACCACTAGTGATTGGGACCACTTCTGCTTGCACCCCTTGGCTCCCAACCCCAGCACCCACATCCCGGCCCACAGCTCCCTAGAAAGCCCTCTGCAGAAGACTTCTGAAGACTATTGCTGTGTTCTCTCCACATCAGGCTCTTGAGTGCCTTCCCGAGGTGGACCCACCACCCTGAGGGCAGCCGCTTCTGGAAGGTGCAGCAAACGGCAGTGGTCTACCGCCACATTTCCTCTGCCAGAACGAAGATCCTTAGGGCCAAGAGAGGAGATAGCTGTGAGCCACTGGCAGCCAACACCCATGCCAGCTGCCCCTGTAGCGAACCTGGGTAGGTTGCAAGCTGCAGTCACTGTAGGACCTGACTAAACTTTCCTACATACTCTGCTGTGTGTCTCAATTTCTTTCTTTTTTTTTTTTAACAGCAAGTTAAAAATAAAAATGTTGCCAGGCGTGGTGGCGCACTCCTGTAATCGCAGCACTCAGGAGGCTGAGGCAGGAGGATCCCTGTGAGTTTGAGACCAGCCTGGGCTACATAGTGAGTTCTATGTCAGTCTCAACCACATATGAGTAAGACACTGTCTCAAAAAACAAACAAACAAAAAAACAAAAAAATAGGGGCTAGGATGGAGCTCAGTGGCACCGCACCTGCCTTGCAAGTGCAAGGTCCAGAGTTTGATCCCCAGTACCAAAAAAAAAAAAAAAAAAAAAAAAAAAAAAAAAAAAAAAAAAAAAAGTTAAAAAATGAAAAAACAGCATGGTGGTGCATATCTGAAGGGGGATCATTTGCGTTCAAGGCAGCCTGGGCTACATTCTGAATTCAAGTCTGGGCACACAGTAAAATCTTGCCTCTAAATAAATAATAAATTTGAAAACACTGCCTAACACTGCGTTCTTACCTTCTCACATTTGACTTGTCATATTTATCACAACCCAAGTTCCTACGCATTTACATGGGTCTGTTCTTGGCCTTTCTATGCTGTGTTATCGACCTACTCTTCCCACATTGTGTCTGTATTACAATGGTGTGTGTGTGTGTGTTTTGTGGTGCTAGGGATCAAATCCAAGACCTCTTACATGTGAAGCAAGAGCTCTACCACTAACCCCCTACCCCATTGTGTAACGGGATTGAACTTAAAGCCCCCCCTCCTTTTTGTATCAGGAATCAAACTCAGGGCCTCGCTCTTGCCAGACAGGTGCTGTACCACTGAGCTACATCTCTGGCCCTAAAGCTCTTTTTGTTTGTTTTGTTTTTGTTTTTGAGACAAGGTCTCACTCTGTGGCCATTCTGACCTTGAATGTACTGTATGTCCCAGGTTGGCCTCAAACTTGTGTGATCCTCCTGCCTCAGCCTCTGGAGTACTGGGATTACAGGTGTGCACCACCACACTCAGTTCTCAGACCACCCCCCTTTTTTTTAAATTTTGAGTCAGGGTGTCACCAAGTCCTAGGTTGCCCAGGATGGGCTCAATCCTCCAGCTTTGGCCTCCAGAGTGCTGGGATGACAGGGGTGCATCCAGCCCAGGTTCTGCCACAGACCTGTGCTTACAGCCCTCACACACTGTTTTGCTTAGTTCAAGTGTGGCTTTCGTTACTTGGGAAGGCCCATTCCTCTGATTAGACTGTGTTCGCCTGTCACTTCCTTGGGAAGGTCAAGTCATACAGTGGCCACAAAGCATGGGGCTGCTGAGTGAAGCCAGTCCAGCTGGGAAGTTCCACTGTCCCCAGCCTCATCAGACTCACGTCAGGCCTGGTGGGGGGTATCGCCCTTGGCCCTGGGCCTCCTTGCCACGCCCAGGGCTGTTCAGGAAGCAGAGGCAACACTCAGCTGGGCAAAGTTGCCCAAGCGTGGGTTGAGGCTGGGTTAGATGTGTGCTAACCACTGCCGGCTTTGTGTCCCCTACAGCCTCATTACCGTGCTGCCCAGCTGTCTCTGCTGGGGAGAGCTTGCGATGCAGATATCACAACAGCAAAGGAGGCGAAGGAGGATGGTTGGGAGCCTCCGTCCAGAGTTCAGGTCCCGCACAACTCATTCTCTGCGTGATCTCAGAGAGCACAATGGACTTCACCTGCAAAGGTGGGTCTAAGAGGTTGGGAGGGAGCTCACCCAGCCTTGCCAGGGTGCCACGGCAACACAGGAAAAGGGGGACACCAACCACAGAGCCTTCTTTCCAGAGCTGCTGTAAAAAGTTAAGGAGCCTACGGGAGGCGGCCCACACGACGGGAGATGGTGGCAGGCATGGAGCCTGGGCTGCGCGGGACTGGCCGTCTGGGCCCTGGATGGTGACCCTGGGGTGCCCATGCGTGAAGACACTGGAGGCTGCGCTGGAGCAGGGGCGCCTCTCCGCTGGACCTCATGGTCTGGGCCAGCTGTCAGTGAGCAAGACATCCTCCTTATCCACTCCTGCTACCAGTGCACAATGGTGACAGCCCACACGCAGGAGGAGGGCCACTGTGCCATAGGGCCCAAGATCAACACCCTCTGTAGTACCCAGGTATGTGCAGCCGCGGACAGGTGGCATGCAGCCCACGACTCAGTGGGAGCTGCTGGTGACCCCTGACCCCTCCCGAGGCTGGCAGGGGTGGTTAGGGTTAGCTAGGGCCTGGGTTTCCTGGAGGTGGCTCTCAGGTTTTCAGGCCTTTGATTCAAGTTTTATTTTAGAAGAGAGCCCTAGGGAACCCAGGTTTGTTTGTTTGTTTGTTTTTGGTCCTTGAGCTTTCGAGGCAGGCAGTGGAACCACTGAGCTAAGTCCCCAGCCTCACATTTTATTTTAAAACAGATTTTCAAGTGATGATGAAAATGACTCTCACCCTCACATTGCTACAGATCAAATCTTACCCCTATAGCTGAAAACCTCCTGTGTGTACCCTTTTTTTGTGCAGACCTCAAAGAGAGCATCTCCTGGCATGTTCTTCTCAGTACTATGTTGTCAAACTTCAGAAAAGTAAAAGGGCTAGAGATGTTGGATGTTTCAGGGCTAGAGCACTTGCCTAGCATGTGCCAGGTCCTGGGTTCCATCCCCAGCACCCCGCGCCCCCTGAAAAAAGGAAAAACTTCCAATACAAAGGGACTCTCAGGCTGATTTATGCCTGCCCCTTTCACCTCTGATTCTTTCTCCCAGTTTTGGTGTTAAGCGCAGTTTTCACTGATGGGGTTTATAAGTACATGTTAATGTTTTAGATTACTAAAGATTATTCTAATGAGCTTTTATGTGTTGCATATATGATGTTGATATAAAAGATTTTGTTTCAAGAATAAAAAAAAGTGAATGAGATCATGCCTGCATATAAAGTGGCTGGTAATATAATAGAGGCTTAAAAACACAGCTCTTCTCTTCACCCACCCTGTCATATCAAAAGTGGGGCTGATAACTCCCTTTCTTACAAGGAACCCAGGGCAAAGAGGCTATGGTAATAAATCAAACCCTGGGAAGTATAAGGCCCAGAGGCTAAAGATAGAAGTAATGGTAAAAAGCCCCAGCTCTGGAGCCTAGATTCAAATCCTAGCAATTCTTCCAACTAGCTGTGTGATATGGACTAATCATTTAAATCTTTCTGTGTCTCAGTTTCCTCACCTGTGAAATGGGAAAACAGCACTACGCTCCAAGGGGTTTTGTAACGTGAGTTCCTATGCAGGAGGAACTTAAAATAGTTCCAGGCCTCTGATAAACACTCAAGAAATGTTAGCGGAGGTCGGGGATATAGCTCAGTGGCACAGCACCCGCCTGTCACGAGCAAGGCCCTGAGTTCGATCCCAATGTTAGCAACAACCACAACTTCATCGATGATGAGGATGAAGACTGAGCTGCATGCTGAATGCTCTGAGAACACCGGCGTCTGGGTCTCCTCCCATCACCTGCAAGCTCCGGAAGGGTGCTGAGGGGGCTCACTGAGGTTGAGGGTAGTGGCTGGGCTCCTCATCCTGACAGCCGCTGTGCCAGGTCTCTCTCCCACATCGGGCAGTAGCTTTCAGTTAGCCCACAGCCCACCAAGGGGAGGCTGCTGCTGCCTGCTCCTGCCTGCTCCGTCCACACCGAGGTTCCTCGGAGCAAGGCCTGGCGTGGGGAATGTGGAGAGACCAGCCTGCCTCCCATCTGGTGAGGGAGACAGAAGGAGACAGCGACAGTGCGGGACACTCAGTAAGTGGGCAGGAGTGACACAGGGTCCGGGAGCTCAAAGGAGCCCCAAACCCAGCCGGGGGCAGGAGCTTCAGGAAAAGGGTTTCCCCAAGGAGGAAAAACCCAAGTGGAAGGTTCAGATGTGAGAGGGATGAAGCCAGGGAGTCTGCTGGACTGAGTCAGTGGACTGAGGTTGGAGGAGAAGAGGACAAGGACAGGGGATGCTGGGGCTGAGCGGGGTCCAGCGGACCAGGAGTCTTGGAAGCTGGGCTGAAGAACTGAGTGAGGCCTTATCTCATGGGCACTGAGAAATCAAGGCAAGATGGTGGCTGGTGGGCCAGGCATGCAGCTCAGTGGTGCCGCCACCTGCCTTACAAGCACAAGGTCCCAAGTTCAATCCCCGGTACCAAAAAAACAAAACAAAACAAAAGATGTAGGGTGGCAAGAGAGGACAAGGTGACCCCCTGCTCTTCATAGTCTATTTAATGTCACCAACCTTCGAATTTCTTTGCTCTCTCTACCAGCCTTGCTTGTTTCTGAAAGCTCCACCTTGGCGTGGATGACGATTTATAATCAGGAATGGAATTGGGCTTGGGAGGGTGACGATACGACTTGGAATTCACTTTTATTGTGGCTTCCGGTGATGCTGGGTTCGTGCTTGAGGGACCTGGGGATGGATGGGCTCAGACCTCTTGGGAGCCCTTGAGGGACCCGGCCAGAGCCTAGGGGCGGGATGCTGGATGTGGCCACTGGCTGAGACACTAAGTACTATTGGGGTCAAGGCACTTGGTGGGTAGAATGGCAAGGGTCTAGGAGGTGGGAATTATTATCCCTGTGTCTAGAAAAGGAAACAAATGAAGGCTCTGAGCAGTTTCATAACTTGGCCAAGCTAGTGCTGAACAAAGGCGGGACTTGAATGCAAGCCCTCTGATTCCCACGGCACTGGGGTCCCTATGATGGCTGCCTCTGCTAAGAAAGAACAGAGATGGGAGGCAGGAGATCCATAAGGGATAGGACAGCGTGGTGCATAGGCTTCTGACCTCTGCCCAGGATCACTGCCCTGCACAGACAGAGCTGAGCCTGGGGTGGGGCTGATTCTGCTAGTTGTGAGGGCCCCTGGGCATTGGAAGAAAAAAGGAGAAACCAAGCGAGGCAGTGGTGAGGCTGGATGGGGAGAGCCCAGCCCACTTCTCCCTGAGACCAGCCAGATCGAGTGTCTGCCCCCACCCTCCCCACTCTGCTGCGTGGCCTGGTCCACGCCTCAGTGCACGGACTCAATGGCCCCTCTAATCCCTGACATCACCACTTGCCCAGCACAGCCCCACCTGCCAGCCTGCCAGCCCCAGCCTTGAGGATGTGCTCAGAGGCTCCTCATCCTCCCTCCTTAGCTCACAGCTCAGACTCAGGACACGCCCACCTCCCAGTCCAAGCTGAGGGCCAGGACCTAGGACCTGCCCTGGTTTTGCTGTGTGACCTCAGGTAAGTAGCTTCCCCTTTCTGGGCCTCGGTCTCCTTAGTTCAGTTCCCAGCTAGTCACATCAACCCCTTTAGCTTTTGGTTTTCACCAGCTCACATGTTGACTGTCAGTCTCCACCCTGGGCTGTGTGCCCTCGAGGAGGAGGTGTCACCTTGCTTGCCTTCGGCTCCCCTGGTGCCATGGAGAATAGGTGCTGTGTTTTACGAACCAAGTACATGCATGGCCCCTAGTTCTCCTCATTACCCTTCAACGGGTGTGTGTGTGTGCGTGTGTGTGTGTGCGTGTGTATGTGTGTGAAGCAGTACTGTGGCCCTTGGATAAAGTCAGAGTCTCTGGGCCGCAGAGGGTGAGCAGGGACAATACCTCCCCACCTGCTCCTCAGCCACAGGTTTCCAGAGGAGGACGCCACCGGGTATGTGAGGCCTGTGTGTGCCTGCCGGCCGGACAAGATCCCCAGCCCCGTCAGAGCTGAGATGTGGCTGCGCGTGTGCCTCTGGGCACACACGTGAGCCAGCGAGTGCATGCCCATTTCGTGTCTGCTCTATGCAGCTGCCTCTGGGTACACAGGGTGTGTGTCCCTTGGGCATCTGTGTGCATTCGAGTCTCATCTCTAGGGACCTAGTCGTGTGACGTGTGTAGGCCTGGCCTGGTGTGATACACGTAGGCATACCTGCTAGCGTCAGCTCTGCTGGTCACGTTCTGTGTTCAGTCCCCAGCACCTAGAACAAGGCCTGGCACACAGCAGGGCCAGGCATACTCAGTGGATGAGCACATGCAGCGCCCACCTGCCTGTTGTGGGCTGGCATGCTCACACATGTGGACGTGTGCATGCGCCTGTGTCCAAGGGTGCACCTGGTGTGGATGGCTTAACTCCTATGTTGCCTCTCCTATTCCTGTTTCAAACTCCTTGGGAGCCAGGGCTCTGTGCCTGGGTCCCTGTGGGCGTGGGCGGAGCAGGGGGCCGCCTCCAGGAAACCAGATCCCAGGACGTGCAGAGCAGCAGGGAAGGAGGCGGCCTCTTTGTCCCCCATAATCCCCTCTTGCCCTTGCCCTCCCTTCAGCATTAGGGTTTAAGGTCAAGTTTGGGGCTGTAGAGGTCTGAGGTGCATCCCCTTCCCTGGCTATCACTGCCTCCAGGACTTCTTGTGGCCTAAAACTCATGCCCCCCTGGATCCCTCCCAGACCTCTCTCTGTTGTGTCCGCCGCTATGTCTACCTCAGTCTCTGCTGGGACCCTGTCCACTGCCCGCCCTCCTTTCACAGGGTGTGACTCCTTCCCTCCCTCCGGGGCAGCTCTAGGGTTCGGCCCCAGGTATAAAGCCACTTCAGGGACAGAACAGGTGCCTCGGAAAGACCAGAGACTGCAGAGAGGAAGGAGCCCAGGAGAGAGCATGAGCTGTCCACTGGGTGAGTGAGGGGCAAGAGCACCAGGGCCCACCCAGAGCGGGAGGGAAGCGCCCTGCCCGGCCACCTGTCTGGCTGCTCTGACACAGGTGCCCAGGGATGGTGCACCTGCTGAGACCTCTGACTCCTCACCATTCCTTGGGCACCTTCAATCACCAAATATCCACGGAGTGCCCAGTATGAACGAAGTGCGGTTGTCCCTTGGTATTACGGAGGATTGGTTTCAGAAATCCCCTCCCTCGGGAGACCAAAATCTGAGGATGCTCAAGCCCCTGACAGAAAAAGGTGTAATATTTGCAGAAAACCCACACAATCTCCCAAGTACTTTAAATGATCTCTAGATTACTTATAATACCTAATGCAATGTAAATGCTGTGCAAATAGGTATCGTACATATGGTTGAGGGAATCATGACAAGAAAACGTCTATGCATGTTCAGTAGCAGAAGCAAATTTCCGTTTGCAGTTAGTTGAATCTGTGAACGCAGAGTGAACAGATGCGGAGGGCTGACTGGACGGCCCTGAGCATTTGGGGACACAGCTGTGAAGAGGCAGGAAAAATCTGTGACCTGACGGCGATTTCACTGTGCACACATAGGACACAGGCAATGCACAAAGAAGCTGTAACGACAGCGTGACGAACTCACCCGTGCTCGTTGGGAAGGGCCTTCGCTGTCAACCTTTTCTTGTTGTTTTTTGTTTTTTTGGTTCCAGGGTATTGAACTCTGGTCCTTGCCCTTTCAAGGCAGGTGGCAGAACCACTGAGCTAAATCCCTGGTCCCTGTCAACCTTTTCTTCACTGGTTCTGAACATCTGGGACCCCTGGGTTTGCTTCTCCTCCCCTTCACTTCCTGGGTGGTGAAGGTCATTTCCCTCTGCTCTCGCAGGCAGGAACATAAATGGAGCCAACCCTTTGGGAGGATAATTGTGTATCACACATCCAAACTGAAAATGAGCATGCCTGGGCTGAGGGTGGCTCAGTGGAAGATCACCTGCCTAGCATGTGCAAGGCCCTGGGTTCAATCCCTAGCATACCCTTGGATCCAGGTGGCCACAAAGGCTGGAATAAGGCTGTTCACAGCACATTCATTCATTCGTCAAGAAAACTTAGGAAGAAAACCAGCAATGAGTGGGCCAGGTGGTTTCCCCCTCTCCTGGAGTTGACGCTCTTACATAACAAAAATTTTTGAAGACAGGGAGAGGGAGGGGCTCTGGGCATGGGACCAGGACAGCTTAGCTGAGTTGGGGCCTGGAGAATGGGAAAGAGCCAGCTAGGGAGGGTTTGGGGGTCCCCCTGACCGGGCACTGCAAGGGTAAAAGTCCCAGGGAAGAATACCAGCAAACACAACAAAGCCAGTGGAGAGGGACCAGGCCTCTGCAGAGCCACTGAGGGACTTCGGTTTTTACTCTGAGTAAGGTGGGAGCCATTGGAATGTCAGAGCAAAGGAGTAGAAGGCAGGACTTGTGGCCAGGGTGGAAGCAGAGACCAAGGAGCGGGTGAGAGGTGTTAGGGGCTTGGATTGAGGTGGGAGCAATGGAAGGAGGTAACTTTTAAAAGTTTGTTTTATTTATTTTCTTTCTTTCTTATTTATTTATTGGAGATAAGGTTTTACTTTGTAGTTCAGATTGAATTCACAGTGATCCTCCTGTCTCAGCCTCCAAGTACTGGGATTACAAGTATGTCCCACCATGCCTGGTTTAAAAGTTTTTTATGGAACACTCGGGGTCTTTTCTGGTACCAAGGATCAAACTTATGACTTTGTGCTTTTGTGGCAAGCAGCAGAACCACTGAGTTAAATCCCCAGCCCCCAGAAGTTTTTTATTGAAAGTAATAAATATACAGAAAAATACACAAGTCATAAGTGTGCAGCTCAACACATCCTCACAAAGATAATATCCTTTTATGTTGTTGTTACTGGGGATCGAACCAGGGCCTTTGTAATGAGCTCATTCTCCAACCCTTTTTTATTTTTTATATTGAGAGACAGAGTCTCAGTAAGTTACAACTGGAAGAATGCTGGGGGAGGGTGGATACTGAGTTGAGTTTAAAATATTTATTCTCCAGGCTGAGCCGCTGTGTCACAGTGGCACACACCTGCAATCCCAGCACTCTGGGGGGGCCAAAGAATTGCAAATTAGAGCCCAGCCTGGGTAACTTGGTGACTTAGTGAGACCCTGCCAATAACTAAATAAAAATAGCTCGGGATGTACTTCCTGGGTTCAATCCTCAATATTGAAAAAAAAAAAAATCCAGAGGCTGGGCTTGAACTTGTGATCTTCCTGCCTCAGACTCATGGAGTGCTTGGGCTGCAGGGGCGCACCACTGTACCTGGTCTAGAAAAGCTGTACCCTTGTAATCAGCATTCATATCCAGAAACACATGTAATGTGCTTGCTTTTATACTAAAACTGGAATGATTCAGAGAAAATTAGCAGGGCCCTGAGCTAGGATGATATGTAAATTAATAGAACGTCCCATGTTTTAAAAAACAAAGAAGCGGGCCAGGGATGCAGGTCAGCGGCAAAGCGCATGTCTGGCAAGCGCAAGGCCCTGAGTTCGATTTCTAGTACCAAAAAATAAAAAAGAAAGAAACACTTGCCTTGGGTACTTTTAAAATAGAATCAAAAGGATTTACTGTGAAATTGGATTCGTAGAGAAGAAAACGGTTTTTCAAAAAGATTCCCCACCCCAGGGAAGGTGTAGTGGTATATTATACCTGTAGTCCCAGGAGGGAGGCTGAGGCAGGAGGACTGCTCCAAGTTTGAGGCCAGCCTGGGATATATAGTGAGTTAAAGTAAGCCTAACCTACATAGTGAGACCCCCATCTCAAAAATAAAAACAAAAAACAAACAAACAAAAAAGAGGATCCTCCATAGTTTGGGCCTGAGCAACTGAAATGATGCTGGAGGGGAAGAAATACAGAAATACCGAGGTGAGAAGTGGGTATTCTAAGATGTTTATTAATGTGCAAGTGAAAATGTCAAGTGAGAAGTTGAATATGTCGATCTGGAGTTCAAGGGATGCTGAAGTGGAGTTCTGGGTGGAAATAATCTACCTACAGGGTGATTCTGCCTGACCCAGAGGTACGAGACAACTGCAGGCCACACGGCTGCACCCTTTGGGCATTGTCAGGATGAACAATGAAGTGGCAGGCAGGGCCTCCGTGTCAGGGACTCGGGGTGTGAGCTCGGGTCTCCTCTGGCAGCCCCCCTCTTCCTGCTGAGCCTGCTGTTGCCACCCCTGAGTCTGGCAGCCCCCATCTCCCCAGCTGAGCCCATCAGCCAAGCCTACAGCCTGGCCCTCTACATGCAGAAGAACACGTCGGCGCTGCTGCAGACCTACGTGAGTGCCGCTCTGAGCCGGGGCGGGGGAGGCCAATCCCGGGCTCCTCCGCTGTGGGTCCGGGGTGCCAAGGGCTCTGTGAGCTGCTGACACACTCCCTCTGGTGTCCCACGGCTGGTTGGGTGTCGGAGGGCAAGCCACACCTCTTCGCCGGGTCTCAGCCTCCTCGTCTTCAGAATGGGATGGCTACCCTGCCTTCGCTGACTCCTCAGGTGCGTTACATCCATGGTCCAAGGACGCACTCAGAAGGAAGGGCTGTAATCCTTGCATGCTGTGCGTGTAACCCTCAGAACTGAGGACTGAACCCAGGGCCATAGCACTGAGCTACAGCCTCAGCCCCTTTTCATTTTGAGACAGAGTCTCACTAGGTCATCCAGGTTGGTTCGCTGGATTGTCGAATTTGTGATCCCCCTACCTCATCATCCCAGAGTGCTGGGATTACAGGCAAGTGTCACCACGCCTGGCTCTCTCCATGGCCTACAGACTCCTCAGACCATTCTGAGGTGGAGTTAGAATTCATAATTCCATGCCACAGCCTCCCAGCCTCACCAGACCCCACCACACAGTGGCACCACAGGCAGCCTGCTGGCTGGCTCTGTCCTACAGATGGTCTTGGTTAGGCTCACAAGATCCTGTTCCCATTTTAAATGTGTGCCTAAGACAGACATAGAGGTCCAGTGGCCAAAATTCCCACTTTGCCTTTCAGTACGACCCTTCCTTAGTCACACTGCCTGGCCAGGGGGACTTGGAGTTTGCAATTCTCCAAGACACTATACTGCAGGACCTTGTGAAGTTCTGTGATCTCCACATCCTGTATCTGCCGCTATTCCCTAGACATCCTCAGCACCCTGAGCCACCTGCAGAATGGGGGTATCCGACTGCACCCAAGTTAAATCTCCAGCCCCGGGGTGACCTGCCAGTTAGCAGATCTCTCAGTGTGCCCTCAAATTCTATGGCTCCTTGGCTGGCGTGGGGGTGTAATTCCAGCGTCTGGGAGGCTGAGGCAGGGGGGTGGCCCTGAGCTCAAGGCCAGCCTGGACTTTACAGTGAGACCTGTCTCATAAGAAACAAGATTCTGTGGTTCTTCTTGTTGTTGTTGGTTTTTTTTTTGGCGGGGGTTGGTACCAGGGATCGAACTCAGATCCTTGCACTTGCTAGGCAGGCAGCAGAACCACTAAGCTAAATTCCTGGCCCTGATTCTGTGGTTCTTGCTTTATGGAGGTGAGAATTTTGCTGGAGAAGGCTCTCAACTAAATTTAGTAACATTAATCACTATTTTATTATGGATTTTAATAAAATTGACAAACTAAATACTATAAGTAAAAAAAGAAAGATCGGCTGTAATCACAGTATATTGCCAATAATACATGTGGATTGAGAGTGATATAAAATATAATCATGTTTGCTCATTTTATATGCCATCAGTTAATGATGGCTTTTTGTGCCCTTATTGTATGTCAGGTACTGTACTAAGTGTTTTACATATATTATTTCCTATCATTGTCACAATAATACTGCCACGTGGGGGTAACAGAAACTTGTGATTCAGCTGGGTGTGGTGGCCCATGCCTGTGATCCCAGCACTTGGGAGGCAGTCAGCAGGATTGCCATGAATTCGAGGTCAGCCTGGGCTACATAGTGAGTTCAAGGTCAGCCTGAACTACATAGTGAGACCCTGTCTCAAAAAACCAAAACAACAACTTGTGATTCAATAATCAGCAGTGAGGGTGACCAATAGGAGCCTGAGGGTGCCCTTGCCCTGCGTTAGGACATCCCACCAACTCTCAACTCTCAGAGGACAGAAGTGGAGCCAGGGCCCCAGATGTCCTTTCATTTCCTCATTTCCATCTGTCTCTGTCCTTGCAGCTCCAGTACCAGGGCAGCCCTTTCAGTGACCCTGGCTTCTCGGCCCCTGAGCTCCAGCTCAGCAGCCTGCCTCCTGCCGCAGTCCCCTTCAAGATCTGGCATGCCCTGGATGACGGGGAGCGGCTGAGCCATGCCCAGGGAGCCTTCCTGGCCTTGACCCAGCACCTCCAGCTCGTGGGAGACGACCAGATCGACCTGAATCCTGGTAGTCCTATACTGCTGGCCCAGCTCGGAGTTGCAAGACTAAGGGCCCAAGGTCTGCTGGGCAATATGGCCGCCATCATGAATGCCCTGGGACTGCCTGTTCCCCCAGAAGAGGACACGCTCGGTCTTGTCCCTTTTGGGGCCTCTGCCTTTGAGAGAAAATGTAGAGGGTATGTAGTGACCAGGGAATATGGCCACTGGACAGACCGAGCTGTGAGGGATTTGGCTCTGCTCAAGGCCAAGTATCCAGTATGAAGGGTAGGACCTCCAGGCAGAGGCTGCCACAATTTCTCCTTCACAATGGTCTCTTTTCCACCTTTCTTCTGAGATAGAGAAGGAGCTATTTCTAATCAAGCAGACAAGGCTGTGTGCTATGTCTGGGAATATTTCCTGGAAGCCAGGCCTCCATTCCTTACCGCCTGGGGCTTCCCACCAGGCTTTATGGCCCCCTTCCACTTCTGGGTAGGTCTCCGTGGGTTCCTCTTGTGGATTCCCATCCAGTGGTACTGATTGTCCTACTTCCTGGTTGGAAAGAAGACTCCCTTTGGAAGAGGCTTCAAGGACAGTTGATTTCCTCCTCCCTGGGCTCCCAGACTTCCCGTCCTGTAATTCCGGGGAAGTCCAAGGGCCGCCTGTCTACCTCACTTCCTGTGCGAAGACACAGCCTTTCTGAGGGACAGGGCTTTCTTCTCCGTGGCGACATGGTTTCCTTTGCTCGTCTATTTCTGGCCACCGTCCTACCTCCTGTCCTACCTACTTCTGATCAGCGCAAGGCCAGTCCTGGAAGAAGTGAGGATTCCTGTCACATCCGTTTTCTGCTCAGGGCGCGTCCCCGTCCCCTTTGTTTTGGCATTCTCGGCCTGAGACTCTCATGAATTTCCTATTTGCACCATACTATGACTTTTGGATATGCTGTGGAGAGGACCAGCTTGTATCCCAAGGACCCTATTCATCTCAAAGCCATCTCCCCATTTTCAACAACTGTATGTACAGGTAACTTTAGTTTTGAACATTTATTTACAAAATATTATTTATTGTCAAATAAATTCTTCTAAGTTTTTTTTTCCTTTTCTTGTTCTTGCCCTCACCAGACCTGCTTGGGGGAGAGAAAGCTATGCAGGGATGGGGGACGGGAGGTGAAGGACAGGAAGGACATCCAAGGGCGAAGAGGAGGCCTAAAGGGGTGAGAGGAGAGTGGGGGCAGCAGGCAGGTGGGGTGCCGGGGTGGGGGCACTTTCCTGACCAGGGAGGGTCAGACAGAGGGGCCGAGAGACAGGGAGCCAAAGGCGCTAGCGAAAATCAGGCCGAGGGGGCGAGGCAGGCAGGGCCAAGTCCGGAGAGAAAGGGGCGGTGACAGTGACGGGAGCGCTCAGGTGGAGCCCCCGGGCAGCAGCTGGCCC